TGACACCCTCAATCCATCTTAGCGTGGCCTTCCTCTTCCTTTATAGCATGAGTGCTTGGTGCTATAGGCTCTCGGGGCTGGCTGGCTAGGTGACATACGTAACAGGTGGCCATACCATTTTACTTTTAGTTTCTGTCTTTCTATGAAATGCATGCAGGACTCAGTGCCAATAGCTGCTCTTACTTCTTCATTTCTCTGCCTGTCTCGTCTTGTGATGGTAAGGGTTTTGCAGAGACATTAATTTCATTTCGCATGCAGGGATTTTGCTTTCATTGGTTTTACTTAATGTTCAGGTCTGGCACTGGTAGTATAATGTTGGTATGAATATTGAAGTAATAGGCTGTCTCTTTGTGTCCATGGAGATGTTTGGATGAGATTGGAGGGGTGCGAGCTGGTAGGTGACAGCATTGGCTTTTTAAGTTAGCATTTCTTTCTCTGTCTATGGACCCATTTCAGAAAAAGTGCTGCCGGGATATTTAAACTCCTTCACCTGTTTCGGTTGCTTACTTAACTATTGACATGGATGTTCAGGGGACTATGGTTTCGCCCACCTTCATAAATTCTGTTTTTGATGTGCTTGTTTTCATCTTAAAATGTTTGCAGCTGTTTTTCAGTTCGATAATTTGATTTTGGAGGCTTTGTTGGTTTGGATGACTGAGACATTGGTCGTCTGCGAATAGAAGTTTATTTAGGCTTTCTGAGCTTTGGTTTGCGTCTTGTGTTATTACTTATTGTGTCCATATATATTATAAACAGGAGGGAGATAGAACAAATTCCTATCGTACTGCAGATCTTGCTTTAAACCAGTCTGTATTGCATTCCTTCGTTCTTACTGAGCTTCTGCTTTGGTAAATAGAACTATGCCATTATCTAACAGCTGTCCTTTTTTTGGACGAGCCTCAGCAAGGTCCGACGTTGTGTCCTTGGGAAAGACACTTTACACGAACTTCCCACTTGGCTAGGTCCTATCGGAGACGGACGTTAAACTAGGAGTTTAAATAACCTAATAGTGTTGATAGGGGCGTTAAACCCATACAATTTCACCATTTTCACCTTTTTTGGATAGCGGCCTATGATTTATTATTATGCTCTCAGCTTACCGTACCCAAGACGAAGACATTAGACATGCGTCTGAACAAACAATGGACAATTGTAAAACAGTTAGCAGGTCCAAGTGAACAACACCGTAACCTAATAAACACCCCCTGCCCCGCGCACGCACGCACACACACACACACAAATACACACATGTGTGTGTGTGCGAGTGTGTGTATGTGTGTATGTGTGTGTGTGTGTG